TACACCCTCATACACACACGTGCATTAATTACAACGGAAATTAATGAGATAGCCTCGTTTCACAATGAAATCGCTTGTGTTTAATATTAGCCGCGAGACTTACCGCTAGAAGGGTATATCCGTTGCACATTAATTATATGGTCGAAGCTCCGGAAGGTTTATCGGTCATCTTTATCCTCATTTTAGTCTTGCAATAGTTATTTAATGCGCAATTATAAATCTTGGTTCAATAATAAATCTACTATGTCTTTATCAATCGGGTTCGTATACGAGAGAATGAATTATTTTCTCTCTTCTCTCTTTTTCGCGTCAGATTTTTCTTTTATCTGTAAACACTCGCTTCTCACAGAAAAGCTGGGTAAGCAGTCTCGCAAAAATGTATGCATGCGAGATAATAAATATTTTACGACAAAGTGGGTGTATATACCACGCGGTAAGCCTTTAATCTAATTAGCGACGCGGACGCCGATGATTTAACGGTCTTAACGCGAGATTAATCTAGACCCTCCAGGAAAACTAGCTAGGTTTCGGAGTTCACGAGCGTATAGTAAACGACGACCCTTCCATCGGTTCTCGATGGAAAGGCAATTGTGCCGTGGCGGTCATACAACTTTCTCGTTGCCGGAATCGTAAATGCGGAAGTAGTCGGATAGTACTCGAATAGCCGCTTACCGATTCACCGATCAGTACCTACAGGATCGCGAGTCCGCAAGGATCGCGAGCAAGCTAGAGATCCTCGTCTACACCTGGTGCATTTTCGGCAGACTCTCCTCCCCGGTGAGTCATCGTTCAAACAAAGACCGCGGATCGAGAAACGACGAGACCCTGAGATCGTTTTTTACGTGTTTTATTGCGAGAATAGCAATTGCTAATATGTCTCGACGAATCAATTCTCATATTCATTAAGAGCCACGTGAATTTACTTACAGAAATGGTGGAAATTTGTTCTCCCAAAGTTTTTTACTTGATGTGTCTTCTGTTTATAAATGGAAATTATAAATATAAAAATGGAAATTATAAATTATAAATTATATAAATGGAATTACTGTAGTAGAGAAATTATACGAGAGAGGTGACAAGATGTCCAATATATCGCATTGCCGATATTTGCCACGATCAGCATTTACGCAAATTCGCTTCTCTCATAACCGAAAATTAAATATGTACGAGATTCAAAGAATCAGCTAAAGGTATATATTCGTGTACTATTTATCGCACTGTCATGTCTTAAATCTTACCTAACTCAACGAAAAAAAGAATGACAGTATTATGCCTTGAAGGCCACGATGGAATCGTGCTTTTACATAGTCGTTTCTTTTTTCTGCTGCATTTTGTCGGCTTAACTAACGTCATCGTGAGAAATTATGAAAAACATCTCGTGGAAGAAAGAAATCAGCGTGAATCAGAAATTTAATGCGTGCGTAAAGACACATGTAATTGTCAAGGTTACGCGTGTCAAAATTACTTGTTATTTATAGTTGATCAATTAATTACTAGCAATATAAGCGTATAGTAATTAATTAAATATCAAAAATAGAGTAATTAATTATTTTATTTTTGTGTTACAAATTTTGCAGATAAATATATCAACGTTTTAAAAAAAAATATACGTTAATATTATTTGGTACGAGTTAAAACATTATGAATTCACGATCAACGAGAGCTAATAAAAGACTTGCGTCAGAAAAAACAGAGAAACAAATAAAGAAATGGTTGCACAATATGTTTAGGCGATTTACGCATATTTTGAGTACAATTTACGTGTATACATAAATCAATAATTTACATGAACATAAAAAATAAAACTAGTTACACATATGTATTTGACTCTCCAAACATTTAATATAAACAGAGTACTAAATAATCTTCTAAGAAAGAAGGATTTAAAGTTCTTGACGCACGATCAGCTGATTATATCTTGTATGACGCTAATGTGACAAGAAAAAGTAAGAACAAGTAAACAGATAAATTATGGAGAAGCTATTAATATTAAAATTTGTACCATGAAATATTTAAATGAGAATTTACGCATTGATTTTAGACATTTCAAAATTTAAAAAAAATTTCGATATATATTAATATAATGCTGCAATTTTTTTAGCTTGAGATGTCAAAATGCGCAATTGTCAAAAAATAGAAACAATGTAATATATTTAATACATATGCGGAACGTAAATTTTTATGAAACCAACTTTTTAATAATGATTTTCATCGGGATAAGGATTGTTTTATTGTACGGTGAAAAGACTAATAGTAGTAATTTAATCTGCTATCTTGTAAGTATGGACAATGTCGATGTCATTTACAAGATGTTTTAAGATATAATTAGAAAGTATTGATATGCTGTTAATGATAAAAAGACATTAACTGGTAAGCCGAGAACGCCGGAAATTTGCACTTCAGCAGATAACACCAACGGAAAATCCCTGCGTAAAACTGTGATACGCTGTTTTTATTACACGGAACTATATACAGTCGCATATCAACAGGCGTTGCTTTAAATCTCGACGATCACATACTCTCAACAAATTTTCGCGATTAGAAACAAGAGAGAAGAGCAATTTTTTTTTTATTATCATCCTCGCAGATGATGAAGATTGATGTATAAAAGCACTCGTCACGTCATAGATAAGTTAGTGTGATTCGCAAAAAAAGAAAACTCATTTACAGAGCGATTTATCATGCTTTCAAAGACCAATCCTAAGAGATCGTAATCTTTTTCACAAACGTGAGAGCCGATTTTTATACAAGATAATCCACGTAAAATATTACAAGCTATTTTCTCGAAAACTATTAAAGATAGGGACAAGATTCTTTTATAATGTTCAAAGTTCGTTGTGTGTCACTTTATAGAACAAATGAGGTATTCTGTGGACCACTCTGTATATATGGAATGCCCCAGAAATTTCTATCGTATCTTTTCTTACGTTTTATTACAGTTTTATCACAATCGAGAATTGAGCTTTTCTGAAAAAATGTTCCAAGACAATAATAATAAATAATTAATTTAATATAATCACTATGTATGTTGCGTTTATGTATTTTTACGTACTATACGCAACTTTCAAAAATTTATTAAAGAAGATTGATGTTGGTTTAAAAGAATAAAACTTTCTAGAACAAAAAGGTGTGTGTCTGCTAACGTAATATTTCTCACGATTAGACGTTGTGTTACAACATTATTACGGTTTCACTTTTGGCCTCTTACAATGTACATTCTTCGATGTTTCGCGAGCAAAGTGCATACAATAAACGCAGTGACGACAGCGAAATCAAACAATTTCGGAAAATTACGTTATAACACATACGCAACCTAGATACGAAAGAAATTTACTGTTATTGCACCGGCATACTTATGATGTAATATCATCAAAAACGACGGAGAAAGCATACTCTAATAGTACGTGTATAGTTACAATTAGATTACATCACATAGACATCGTTACGTGACGACAGATTCGACACATGAATTCTCATGCTCGATCACGCGCGTCGTATAATGACACATTCACATAGATTCGAGACGTGCCGGTATTCACACATACAGATTTGCACACATTTTCCTCAAGATTTACATAGATTATCTTGTCGCGACGTGAATTATAATAATTATCTCAGGATCATAGCGCGAACTTTTATCCACGCGATCCGATTCAAAGAATCGAATTATATGTATGTCTATATAAATCTTTCCTTTATTTTTCGCGCAGAATCCCCTCGTTGATAATCGCGCGTCAATCGATCTATTGATCCGCATAATGGAGAATAGGATCTTTGTCCGCATGTTTTGTATGCAGATGTCAACGATGCCGTGCGTGCATGCGTGCATATGTGCGTGCGTGCGTGCGTGCGAGCCAGCGTTACCGTACCGTGAAACACAGTCGTTAGTGAAAGCGTTGAACTGTGGATGTGCAACAGGATGACCATGACACATTTTGCAACACGTTTCTATAGTATAGTTTTCCAGATGCAGTATATATCGCGAAATTAGGTCAAAAATTCCGTTCCTTCTCTTGAGACTTTGGCGGTTTTGTGCCCTTTTCACTTTTTTCTTTGTCTCTCTTTCCGTCTCGCAATGTTGAACTGATGATTCACACGCTTATTATTCTACTACGTATCGTCCAGTTTATTGTTTGGCGATAATATCCTTATTGAGTGGAATTATGATATGCGAATGACTTCATTCTATTATTTGTGCCGCATACATATACATACAGTGTTATATGTCAATAAGTATATGATAATAGCATGATGTCATCACAAGTAATTATCTACATTTAATGAACATGCTAAATAACTTTTTAAAGATACGTTAAAAGTTTGCATCTTGCGGATATACATACACACACACACATATATATATATATACATGCTCGCAAAACATCATCTGTTATACGCTTTCAATAATCTTGCTTCATAAATTCTAGAAAAACGATTGAAAACTCGCGTTGCAGTTTCTGAAAAACATTGCATGAGTAGTTGATAAGCGTTGAGCAAAGGTCATAACATAGATTCTATCTGATGAATCTTAAGTATCACGAATAAAAGCACTAACATAGGTTGAAACTCTCCATCAATGTAAAATAATTTATATGTTTTTATATAAATTATCTTGATTAAATGTATGCCAACCTATTTTTTCGATTTAAATTTATTTCCATAAAAAATATCGTTATAAAGTAAAAAGGCAAATTAATCCCAATATCCTTTCGTATAAAATTAAAAATTTTATCATTCACAGAATATTCTGCGTCAATTATTAAAGAAACAAGTTTTTCAATTCTTTCATTACATTTCTGCCGAGAAAAACATCCGACATTTATAAAAGGATCTATTATTAGATGAATTACGTATTTATCTTCGATGCAAAGACAAATAATGTTACATAATAGTTAAACAAAACTGTAAGCTTTAATCACTCAGATTTACGGAAGGAGAAAATAAATAGAATGCTAGATTATATGCTAATTACTTATTATATTAAAGTACAAATGACTCACGTAAATCACTACGTGGCCCGTGCTCCGATTTCGGGTTTTGGAGCTGACCGCAGATTCCCGGTATTCCACAAAGACTCGACACGCTCGCCACAAACTAACGCAACTAACACTCTTTTCTAATAACTGACTAATGGCATTCTCGCCGCTTTATCTATTCTTCAATATTTTATTACTCGCTTTAGATACTCTCGCCTTCTCTACGCTCGTCTCGAAACTGAACTGTGTCTTCCTTTTCTCTCGCTGTCCTATCCTTCGTTTTCGCTTTCCCTCTCTTTAGGGAATTTGAATTATCGGTAATCTATCGCTATGAGCCTCAATCATATAGCCCCTAGATGGTATAGGTCCTTGCTCCTTCACTAATAATCTTACAAAACTATTACACGAAATGTACATGGAAGAATCAAGCGAGAGAAAATTAATGAAAGCTAGCTTAAAAAATATATCCGCTAGTTAGAAAAAGAAAATATTTTTTTTCTTCTTAATTACTTGTGAGCAGTGTATAATGATTGTATCTCGGCTGCAACTTTGTAAGACGACCTGAATGTAATGATGATGGCGGCCCACGCTCGGCCTCGCGGACACGCAAAAAGACGTACTAATAACCGTGCGAGACGTCCAACTATCTCGCACATTCGCGCAAAGGTTTTCGACGGTGAAGCATAAAGTAAGAGGAGAACTGCCGCGTGAAAACCACCTTGGTGAACCGTGAGCCAGTTGCGTCATTGCTGCGATCGGTACCGGCGCGCAAACAGTGTCGTACTCGCGGAAAATTGCATCTGTACCCTTCACCAGTGTATATCCCGCTGGAAGAAAAGTTAAATCTCCGCAAAAGTATCTCTCGAAACCGGTCGTTCTTCATCGACGTCGATCAACGATCACTTTTCTGAGTGTCTCGATAATATAGCACTGTAATAATTTTGTTTGTCTTCGCGCACTTAAATCTCTCTTTCTGTGTATGCGTATGTGTGTTTATGGTAATTATATGCGCCACTCGATCGGAGGAAGCTATTTTCGAAAGTGCAAAGAAATGATCGAGAGTTATATATAGTTTTATTTAAAAAGATATATAGATAGCCGTCGTATTGTTGCGCTCTATCAAAGAGAGCAAGAAGTAATAACGTGACGCTGAAATATAGCATACCTTGCACGGCAGACAGCAAATCAGACCCGTTCGTTGCATAATATAGATTCTCTTTTTTGCAAATGCAATTTGTTGAGAGAAAAATATAAATTACATCACTTTTCGAAGTAAAAAATATATTAACTGCGAAAAACGCGTTCTAGAAATATAAATTTCTAAATAAGATCGTACATGCACGTATTTCGCAATTCCGGGAAAATTACCGACCGAAATGCAAGTATATATTATTGTAATACTATAGCAAATAAATCGGATGTTAGTATTATAAAAGCTAACGGAGGCATAGCTGTCGTTGCGCGCGAAATGATAACCTTCACGAAAGTTCATAGAGTTATCATATCATTATGAGATTCTTGCGAGAAAAAAATTTCTTATGATACACTTTCAGATTTTTACAAATTTATCAGACAAATATTATTTCAAAATAACATATATGTATATTAATTAAATTTTATTTGAAATTGATATAATAAATTTAAAAAACTCCACTCTTCTCTTGATAAGTAATGTTGCGAAGAAAGCACTTTATCAGCATAGACATAACATCCGCGTAATCATTTATTTCAATGGCGTTACAATATTTTAATGTTGTTTGCTTGCTGAAAATATACTAACAATAAATATAACTCAACATCTTTCAAGCTACGCGTACAAAATTCATCTCATGTCAGTCTGGCAAATTCAAAATATTTCTTATAGACTATATAAATGTTAATAACAAAATTCTTTCTTCTTTACTACAATTTTTATTTATATTATTTGATTAAGTTACTTCGTTTTGGACTTTATTCCGTCGCTGCCGCAGGTCTTACCAGGTCCGTCTTAGATTACTAAGTTCCTCCAAGTTTACGCTACTGTAACTGCGCGGCAATAAATAATAATCTTCAAGGACAGGGCGGATGTTAGTATTATAAAAGCTAACGGAGGCATAGCTGTCGTTGCGCGCGAAATGATAAGTTCATAGAGTTATCATATCATTTTGAGATTCTTGGGAGAAAAAAATTTCTTATGATACACTTTCAGATTTTTACAAATTTATCAGACAAATATTATTTCAAAATAACATATATGTATATTAATTAAATTTTATTTGAAATTGATATAATAAATTTAAAAAACTCCACTCTTCTCTTGATAAGTAATGTTGCGAAGAAAGCACTTTATCAGCATAGACGTAACATCCGCGTAATCATTTATTTCAATGGCGTTACAATATTTTAATGTTGTTTGCTTGCTGAAAATATACTAACAATAAATATAACTCAACATCTTTCAAGCTACGCGTACAAAATTCATCTCATGTCAGTCTGGCAAATTCAAAATATTTCTTATAGACTATATAAATGTTAATAACAAAATTCTTTCTTCTTTACTACAATTTTTATTTATATTATTTGATTAAGTTACTTCGTTTTGGACTTTATTCCGTCGCTGCCGCAGGTCTTACCAGGTCCGTCTTAGATTACTAAGTTCCTCCAAGTTTACGCTACTGTAACTGCGCGGCAATAAATAATAATCTTCAAGGACAGGGAAGTCCTTCTCTCTTAGCTGGCTTAAAAAATAAAAATTCGCTCGCCATCGAAGATCGGAGTCGAGCAAATCTCCGCAGGACGATTAGCGTTCGCTTCATCACGTGCGCTGTTCGCGCGCGAGCAAACATATACACGCCCACGCCCGTGTACAGAATCGCGTGCATGAATATTGAGTAGAAGGAGGTTATCTAGTAAAACCGGCAGACAGAAAAGTCCAGCCGATAGCTGCGCGAGTGACAGTGCGATCCACGATTGTATGCGCGCGTGATTTCGCTCTTGACGCACCGCAACGTGTATCTTGATCAAGAGACGCGTCGCCGATCCTGTATATCTCGGATGAAATACTAGTAGTACCACCGTTCCGTCCGTGTGTTATCATGCCGCAGGACAACCAAAGGATCAGCAACGGCGTTGGGTCGGAGACGATCACGACAAAGCACCAGCAGGACGACAAACCCGAAAAAGATTCGGGGGATCAAGGGACCCACGACGAGCAAGAGGCTGATGTCAAGGAGGATTTAGAGTTTCGCAAGGGTACCGACGAGATGCCCGAGCTCAAGGATGATCAGCTGTTACGGGATGACGAGCAGATAAGTCTGGATTTCAATGTGCCACCAGAAGTTATGGAATATGCAAAAAGAGAGCTCGGGGAGACCGATGAAATCAAATGTCAAACACTACAGGAATTACGTGATATGATCTACGGTAATTCAGATTGCAGTATTAGTGTAAGATATGAGTGATTGTTAAATGGAAAATGATGTTGATACTATCAATTTGACGGTTTCAAATGTGCTGTCTAAAGAAGAGAAGATAGAGTTAATTTAGGAACATCTCGACATAAAAATAATATTTCTAGATGAACTGATTAGTATTTTAATGCTTTTCAAATTAAAATAAATACTTTAATCTTTATTTCATATATATTTTAAAATCGAGTTCACAAAACGTAAATAGTTAGAAGTAAAGTCACGAAAGTATTCGGAAAAATTTGAATATTTTGCGTAATGTTTAAATAATATATGTGTGTGATTTTTTAAATATATATCTCTTGAAATATATGTAGAATAAAAGTATACTATCATACATGAATAAATAAAAATACCTAAACGCAATTTTCGCAAAAGTCCAATTCTTCTGCATTTCACACTTTTAGTCACACTTTTGTTAAAATTATTTTTAACATTTTCCACAATATTATATTTAATTTAGTTCATTTTAGTCATAATAAAAATATCTTACAAAAATTAATATTCTTGAAATTTTGGCTTCCACAATGTTGCAAATTATAAAAATGTCGAAATTTTTCACATGTTCCTAAGTTACTACAATTTTCCAAATTTTTACTCGCTATAAAAACTTTTTTTATTATGTTTGTGATAACATATTTTCCCTAAAAAAAATATAGTTTTATTATTATAATAATAATGTCAGAGGATGTGTTTCTTTCTTGAGATCTCTAAATTAAAATAAATTTCTCTCTCTTAAATTTAAATATAAAAAAATAACAAATTTATAATTTTGCAATAAGCTAGAAATTTTATCAAACTATACTTCTATTGTTTATCTAATTTGTATTGTATACATTCTTTGATAGAAAGAGGTGAGTGTTTGCCGCACAGGATGGACGACGATTTTCTCATCAGATTTCTTCGCGCCAGAAACTTTAATCTAAAAAGAGCGCACAGACTGGTGAGTTGTAAATGTAGACACTGACACTGACACTGACATTTATAACGAACAATTAACGAGATAATGTTTACGTGATAGAAAAGTGAATAGGCAGTCCGATTACATTGATCAAAGAAGAAAAAAAGTTGCTTCCATTGTTAAATTCATGTTTGCATTGACATATTTTTATTTCAGTAAATGATGATAAATTATCTTATGCGAGAATAGGAACATCAAGAGAAAAAAAAGTATAAAGAGAATTTTTAATGATATTTTAAATTTCCATTTGAAATATACTATACAAGAAAGATTTAAAACAAAGAAACAGTTATAAATATCTGCAATTGATTTTTCAACACGCAAGTTTTGTAATGAAAATTTATAATAATTTTTTTTTTCTATGAGCAATTGTGACCAGTTATATAATTTAGTATTTTCCAACTGATAATTCTGCGATGTATTTTCAGTACTTTTCCAGAAATAATAATATTAATCAGCTGCCTCTCTCATGTGTGTTAAATACATAAAAGATTTTGCTTGAGAGATTTATAATTATAATTTATTAAATAACACTATTTTATAATACATCGTGAATTAATCTTGTTGCTTTTTTGTGTATATATTTTCTCATAATTATAAACTGCATTCGATTACTGGAAATGGTGAAAATTTGATCAAAAATATTGTCTTTTCATTATTTTGTATCATCTGTTGACTCATAATGTGAACTTCGTTACAAATTATAGACCTAATGTTGTAGAGACTCGTATGTAAATCAGATCAAGCTAAATATATAAACATATTAGATCAGAGTAATATGAGTCATTTAAATAATTTGCATCGTAAATGAGAAATGCTTATTTCTTCTGAACCTTTGAATGGACTCAATTTTCCATACTTAATGTCTATTTTTTTATTTATTTAGGTAATTGTATTATCTAGGATAATTACCTAATACAGGTATATATTCAAAAAGAAAGGAAATAAGCTTTATTATCTATGTGATTACTTATGCGCAATACCATAATTGCCAATCGGTCTATATAATCAGAGCAATAATTTTCACCTGCAATTTCGTTTCCTGCTCAATCTTATCAAAAATAAACTAATACAAATTGTTTTAACTGCAGCGTTATAGAAAGATAGGATAACTGTGTTATCCTAACTTTCTTTTTTTATTATTTTTATTATTATTTATTATAATTCTATTATTTTTAATTTATTTTTATTTATATAATTCACGCGCGAGATAACGATATCAACAAATTTATTATCGGACGTGATTTGTCGTCGGATAATACAGAGATAATTCATATTATTTTATCATGTTATTCAAAAACATTTTTGTTTACAAGATAAAAAACAATGCTGCTCTATCGGATATCAATAATGTTTATGAAAATTCAAGAAATGTGAATTGCTGTAACTGAATATCGACAATTGATATTAAAAGTACTTCAACGAATAAAACGTGAGCACGAGGTGAACTACTCGTTGCATAATTGTGTCAAGGCAAACTGATTTACTTTTTAAGAGATTGAATACCAAAGTTAGCGCAGCGCTTTAACATTTTAAGGAGAAACTGGGTAATAAAAGGATAACGAAATCTAATTGTCTTTTAACAGAATAATTGAGTCATTAATTGCTCTTAATTACTATCGAATAATTATGAAATAATCGCGACTTTCTAGCAAAAATGAGAAGCAAAAGTATATGATAGAGTTAAAAGAATATTTCATCACACAAAAACCGGCTTTAAGACGATTCAATCGCGAATTCCTACATATGCATAAAGAAACAAACGGGCTATTCATAAATGCTGTAAGAGCAATCAAGAATTCATAATTACACTTATCTCAATACGCGATAATGAATGCCATTTATGAACGTTTACGTTTCGTTCGCGCGATTTCAACGCACGAATTGAATATGATATTTTTGCAAAAAATCACGTTCAAAATACGAGATCAATTTCTCTCAAGAGATCTTTCAATAGATGGTGAATTATTACAACTTCAAAGAGGAGCATCCGGAGATCCATCAACAGATGAACCCGACGGAGATGAGGTACATAGGCGATGACGATATAATCACGGTACCGCCGTACAGGACCCAGTGCGGCAGACGTCTGCTGATCTACCGGATAGGTAATTGGAAGCCGAGTAAATATCCTGTCGAGGAGCTATTCAAGGCCACGACCTGCGTGCTCGAGCTGGGCATCCTCGAGCCCAGGGCGCAAATTATGGGCGGTATCGTCATCTTTGACCTCAAGGACATCACCATACAACACGCATGGACCGTGACGCCTCAGGTACCTTATCATAGTTTGTTTTTCTCGTTTTTTTAAAAATTTTTTTTTTATATCATGCTGCACAGAGATCGTGATTTCCGACAAATGTAATTACAACCGTGAGACGAGAGAGAATCTAATGTAATGATATACGTATCGATGATGCAACATGAGATAATTCGTTCTCCAGGTGGCAACTATGATGCTATCTCTGATGGTGACCGCGTTTCCCATAAAGATACACGAGTTGCACATTCTCCATCAATCGTGGATTTTTGACACGATCTTCGCGGTCTTCAAACCGCTGATTGACACCAACATGCGAAATAGGATATTCTTCCACGGCAATGACTACAAGAGTCTTCACAAGCACGTCTCGCCCGAGTATCTACCGAAGATTTACGGCGGTATAAGAAACGAGATGCCTTACTACAAGTGGATCGAAGCATTGATCAGGGATCCGAAAATCGTCGATCAGATGAGCAAGATGGGATACGTTCTTACGAATGACATCCTCGAGTCCTTCAAGTAAAACCAATTCAGGATTCCGAGGATTTCAACATTGAAATCACATTATTTTCTATACATTTATCACGCTACAGCAGTTATTTGCACGTTTTTATTGTTAGAGCGCTTGCTTTTTCTTGCTATTATCTTTCTCAATTTGTATCGGTTGGGATATATACAGCATGTCTCGGGACATTTAGTTTTAGTTTATCAATTAATTATAAACATAATATAAAACGAACAATTTTTTATATTATTTATATTTGATATTATATATGTTGGTAGCTCTAAGTTTTTCAAGAATAAATATTTCGATACAAATCAAATGGACGAGCAATCATCTGTATTAAGTTACACGTTGCTTGAATATTTCGCGCATGATAACTTCGCAATTATAATTATCGTGCCTTATCTAATAGCGTACGCCTAATGGCAAACTTGCGATAAGAATCGTTGTGTTTCCCTACA